GGCACTGGTGTGGGGATTCATCGAAGAAAAAAACTCGGCGCGAGGGGGAGGGGGGGCTAGATGGATGGCCGGGGGCGGCGAAAGACTGGTGGTGGTGGTGGTGAGGGGGTGTGTTCCAGGGAGGGTGGGGGCCGGTGCTCCGTGGTGGCGGTTGGGGGAAAGATGGGGCGAAGAACAAGAGAACGAGGTGGAAGATGATGCCATGGACGTTGGATCTTGATCCAACGATTGAGATGAAATCGACTGACCACTTCAAAATTTGCAGTCGACTAATAAGTAGCCACTCCCCTATTTATAACCTGGGAGACTGGGGGAGATGGTGGGCGTGTAATGACAACTGTTGGACTCGTGAAGCCCGCACATCATTAAATTAGTCTCGTCTGGCTTCGGTCGCACGACTGCGAGATCAGTACATGGCCGATTCCCACCGGACAAACAAAAATGGCAAACGACTAGACCGTAGGTATATAGATATAGATATAGATATATAGATAGATTGATAGATATAGATAGATATATAGATTTCGATTCTAATCCAGAGTACGATTTTCCTCGTGCAGGAAAGCATGTAACCTCTCCCTACTTGTCTCTGTATATATGCATTCGTTTGGTCTCATCAGCCACACACACACCAAGGGATAACAACAAATGAACGCTTACACAACATCATCTAAGAGATATCAGAGAGAGGCTATTATAGAGCACTGACAGTTGACGATGGAGCTGGCCAAGACCATTGTGCTTCTGCTGTGCCTCATAGGCACGGCGGGAGGCGCATTGGGAGGATTTTGCATCCCGCCACCGAGGTCGGCAGCCAGAACACCACGCTTAGCCACCAGTGTCCTTACTCCTACCACACCACGGCCGTCGCTTGACTGGCGTGCGCGTGGGGCTGTCACGCCGGTCATGTTCCAGGGACAGGTTGTTGCTTGCTCAGTACTTGTCTATGAACTACTACCGCTACGCGCGCAGTACATGAATGGAACCTTCATTTGTCACTTCGTCCCTTCCATAGACAATGTAACCAATCTACCTGGACGTGCACCCAGGTTCCTGCTGGGCTATATCGTCGGTGGGTGCCATTGAGGGGCTACACAAGATCCAAACGGGAAGGCTTGTCAGGCTGTCGAGCCAGCAGATATTCGACTGCTCCAACAAAAGTATGGCCGACTCGGACCTCAAGGCGTTCGACTGGGTTGTCCGCAACGGAGGCGTCGCCTCAGAGGAGACGTACCCGTACGTGGGGCGAGTCCAGGACTGCAAGCGGGAGAAGCTGCATATGATCTCCGCATCCATCAGAAGGTACAAGATGGACATCCGCGACGAGCTCGACCTCTTGGTCGCCGTCTCTTACAAGCCGGTGTCCGTCAGGATGTGGCTCGACCCACCAAGCTTCTACAACTACACTGGGGGCATCTTCACGGGACCATGCGGGAAGGAAGCCCATGGCATGTTGCTGGTGGGTTATGGTGCCCTTGCGGACGGCAGAGAATACTGGATCTTAAAAAATTCTTATGGCGTTCATTGGGGTGACCAGGGCTACTTCTACGTGAAACGTGGCGCCTACCATCTGCCAGGCCTCTGCGGCCTTGCTTTTCTGGTTGCAGAACCCGAATAGACTCTAGGCTACTCCATCCCTCTTTAGAAAGAGAAGGCTTATAAACTTATCTCTAGTAAATAATGATACAAAGTTTGATGAAGTTTGTAAGGGAATAACTATCAATAATTACAATACTAACGAGATACAATATAAAAACATGTTTTATTCCCCGCAAAAATAAACATGTTTTATTGTGCAATTAGTGATACTAAGTTTGTATTCTAATTGTGATAGTATTAGTTGTCTATAAAATAATCAAACATTATTCCATTTGATTTGAGATAAATTTTATGGCGGCCCTTATTTTTGGAGGCAGAGAGAGAACTAGCTAGCTAGGATCTAACTACGAGGGTAGTCCGAGTGCATCAAGTTTGAGTATATATTTATCATAACACCTAGATGTGGCATGCTATCTAATGAGGAAAGATAGAGTGATCATATCTTCATCAACATATAGATTTTACCACCAATACCAAAACTACTCATATTTCTCTCTCTCAGAAAACACATTAGATAAGATACGAGATTTTTTTGATGCAACACTAAGATACAATCCACTAGAAGAGATATGTATCTTATATTATATTTACTAATTCGATGCACAATATGAGGCTCCACGTTAAACCTAAAAAAGTAACTAATTATCCGTCTAATCTATGTTACTAGCTATCCTTGGCCATTAGATCGTAGCACCATATGGCAGTGCTCGACATGTGTTCCTCGCGGACTCCTAAACATTCACGCTCCTCGCAGCCTTTCGGCAGTAATGTTGAGTGAGGCCCCTTCACAACATTCACGAAGTTTATTAAACTAAGCATTCAACAGAGGATCTGATATCCAATATAATACCAAGGTTCATCCATATCCCATAGAACTAGGGGTCTACTCACACATGGAGACAACAAACATCATGAGGATGATAATATTAAACATGAATGGATCACACACGTAACACAAGACGATCCACTAGGATTCCTAATGTTACAATGAGATGGATGTGGATGATAAGGATGATGATAGTGGTGATGATGTTGACGTCCCCTTGCACTTGGCGGTGAAGATGGTGATCTCCTCCTTGCCAATCCCTCATGCGAAGCTCCGGAGGCTAGCATTCTGCCTCCTGGACGA